ACATGCAGGCAATACACTCATACACATAAAAATAATAAATAAAATAAAAAAATTATACTCTAATACAAGTAATTTGAATCTGAAACTGTGATTTTTCCTCCCATTCTGTGTGTGTGTGTGTGTGTGTGTGTGTGTGTGTGATTTCTTGTTAGCTATGGGTAAATGAAATAATAGCAGGTGAAGCTGCAGATTGGGGGCAATATTGTGTATTTAAATCATTTGAATCTCATCTTTTAAAATGTTCAATAACTAAATTGTATGACCATACTATCGGTCCCACACTTAATCTTATATCTTATTTGGCTTCATCCCTCATCACATTTGTTTTTTTTTTTGGTCTTTTTGAGACAGGGTCTCCCTGTAGCCCCAGCTGTCCTGGAACTCACTATGTGGACCAGGTTGGCCTTGAACTCACAGAGATCCACCTGCCTCTACCTCCCGAGTGCTGGCATTAAAGGTGTGCGCCACCACGCCCGGCTCCTCATCACATTTTACACATTTTATTTTTATTTAATGTATATGAGTGTTTTGCTTGCACATATGTAAGTGTGCCTGTGCTGTGCAATGCCTGTGGAGGCCAGAAGAGGGCTTCAGATCCCCTGGACCTGGAGTTATGGACAGTTATTAGCTGCCATGTGGGTGCTGGAAACCCAGGTCCTTTGCAAAAGCAGCCAGTACTCTTAAACCACTGAGACATCTCTCCTATCTCATTACACTTTTAACAATGTACCATGGTCTCTCCTTATTTGTTTTTATTATTCTAGCTTATTTTTTTCCTTACTTAGAAGAGATCCTCAAGATATCTACAGAAAGTTTTTGAAATAAAGGGTGTGTGAGTGATGTAATTTCATAGAGAAAGCTTAGTCTGACAGGTAATGAGACTCTGGAATTCAGTTCATTCCCTTGAAATCCCCAATACTACTGTGCAGAGTTGTCTCAGGGAATAGAAAGTCGGTCTGGTTTTATTTCCTTTCAAGCAACCATGTTCTTCTCCCCTGTCTGGAAGCTTGTGGTCGTGTCTCTTTCTTCTTGGAGTTCTGTGTCTATCAGTGTGTGTTTATTCAGTGACCTTGTTCCCAGCATGCCATGTGGCTTGAGCCCTAGTCTTTTTTCGGATAAGGGGAATGGCTTCCCTTGCTTCCTTGGTTTCTGCTTCCCCTTCTTTACTGATGCTGTCTCCATCTGGGACTCCTGTTGGATTGTTATCACATAGCCTCAATCCCTGTTACATATTATGCATTTTATCAGATTACTGAAGTTCTTTTCCTTCTTTTGAGTGTTGTGGATGTGCATGAATCCCAAAAGGAACTGGCATCCGGCTAGTTTAACCTCTAGCTCTGACTTATATTAGAAACAAGCTTCTTACTTTCCAAAGAAGCTGTCAAATAACGTCCTTGTCCAGCCGTCCTGTGTGTGGCGAACTGGCCTCGTTCCCTGTGACTTTGCTTTGTCTCTGCATTCATTCATGCTCCAAACCCTCATCCAGTCTCGCTCTTCTGAGCCTGAAGTTTCTAGGACCCTTCTCCGGGAACCTGTGCATTGACTTCTTTGAGGTCCTCAGCTCATCAGCCTGCAGCAGCCTTTCCTTCCCTTGCCTCATCAACTTTGGACCTTCCTGTCATTCTTCACAGTGTCTATATGCCGATGGCTTGGTTCTTTAGTTCCCAGTATGGCTACTGACATTTTGGTCCAATAAATGGCTTTTGGGAGGATGAATGAAAGCGAGCAAATGCAGAAGCCTCCGCATTTACCATTCCCCAAACCAAAAGCCTGGGTGTGGAACTAGAGGAAGAGACTGGAGCATCAGTTCTAACTATGGTTGGATCAAATGACCTACTCACCCTCTCTGATGGCAAAGACTCTTCTTAGAATCCACATATAACAAACTAAATAGAAACAACTTCTATACAGAAAGCCAGAGAGACAGTGTTTAGCTTCTTCAGAGAACAGAATGAAGTGAGACTTAAATTCCAAGTGCATTGGATCTGCTGGAGACAGGGCAGGTGCCAGTGATTCCTATGAGTTGCTACAAAGACCATCTAAGCCTTAAAACTTTGTGGGCTTCATAGCGCATTGCAAAGCCAAGTTAAACACACCCATTTTTCTGTAGGGTTAAGAGCAGTGCTCTTTAAAAGAGAGACAGTGGGCCTGAATCTCTTGGATTCCTGACAGCTTGGCCACATTATGATTCTTCCTTGGTGCCTATGGTGTTAGAGGGAAGTCAGAAGCAGCAGATAGAGTAGAAAAATCTTGTCTTCATCAGCCTTCCTGATATTTTTTTTCAATTTTTATTTTTTGGCTTATTTTTTAATTTATATGTATATGAATACTTTGTCTGTGTGTATGTGCACCTGTGTCATGCAATAACCATGGAGGCCCAAAGAGGGCATCTGGATTCCTTGGAGCTGGAGTTATAGACAGTTGTTAGCTGCCATGTGGGTGCTGAAACCAAACCCTAGGCCTCTGCAAGAGCAGCCAGTGCTCTTAACTGCTGAGCCATCTCTCCAGCCCCCACTTCCTAATTTTCTTTTTAACATAAGGAAAGACTGTTTTTGACAGGAACACTTTCTGCAGATCTTTCAACTGGAATGGAGATGTCTTTATTTCTTCTCACCAGGCACCTACCTCCATCACTATAGTAGCAGACACCTCCAGAGCTGGGTAGGGATGGAGCTGGGAGGAGAGTGACAGGCTCCCTGTGGTAGGTCTGGGTCTTGTCACTGAGCCTCCAGTGCTCAGGTCTGTGCGGGCCTTCAGAGGGCCAGCTCCATGCTGTGTGATTGGTGACATTTCTGGCTGCCAGTGCCCAGCCAATCAGTGACAGGCTTAGCTAGCTAGGGTGACGACACATGAAATATGATAATCTGCTAACAAAGTGGGGTGCAGTGTGTGGCTAGGGGGTGGGCAAGTAAGAGAGAACCAGGCCTGGGTTTCAGAGGTCATTCTGGTGGACTAGGTGAGGGAGGGAATGGGTACTGAGGCTGGATCTATAGGGACCTGTCCCTGGAGCGGCCGTAGGAACACAGTGGTGCCCCTGGTGATGGGTGAGAACAAGGGAAGAGACACCAGGCTGAAGCTCTGGGGCTCTAGGGTGGAAGGCATTTGCCTTCCTTTCAAACAGGAGCAAGATTAGGAGTTTTGTTCTTTTTCAGTGGTACCTCTGCCTCTTTAAAAACCAAACCAAAATACGTGGGGGGGGGGGGCTGATGTCATGTTTTTAAGGTTGGATGGCTAATTCTTCTACCCTGTTGTTGTGCCTCCATGCTCAACTTTGTTCCAAAGCCCAAAAGGTTAAAAATAAAACAACAAAACCTCACTAACAAAAATCTGAAAAATGGTCAAATCACAATCAAGATACTGAAAGGCCAGGTGGTGGTTTGGATTTCAGATTCTGAGTAGAAGAGAACATGTCTGGGACTAAGGTCTGGTCCTGAATCACAAGATGGTTCAGAACCATCCTTCTGGTTGAGGATGGGGTCCCTGAGACTTCAGGGCAGGGCCTGGGTTAGCTCTGGGGTTAGCAGAGGTACCCACTGCCTTCAGCCCCTAGCTCAGCTTTCTGGCTCTTACCAGCAATAAGGGATTATGGGGGAAGTGACAACCTCTGTGCTGACAAGTTCCCTGATTTGTCTGACCCTGTGAACTCAGAAGTGACAGATGGCAGTGTTCCTGCCCTGTGCTGTTCTTCCCTGGAGAAGCTCATGGTGCAGTAAACACACGTGCTTAGTCTTCTGCCTTGTATTTGCATATTTCCCCTTCCTCCCTCCCTTCCTCCCTCCCTCCCTTCCTCCCTCCCTCCCTCCCTTCCTCCCTCCCGCCTCCCAACCTCCCTCATATATATTATACATGTGTGCATCTATATACAAGGACAGGGGTCAGTGAAGATGACTTCACTGCTCTTGCAGTTCTGAGGGTGGCTGGAGGACTGGGACGCTGACTTCCTGCACTCCCGCCATGCTATTCCATAGTGATAATTGGCGTACTGTATCTTTAAAAGGTTAAAACCCCTTTCCAAAAAAAAAAAAAGGTCTGGACTCCTAGTGGAACAGACAAGCCAGGCATGGGTTGGCTCCGGATTCAGAAAACAGCTGCTGATTAGATTCTGCGTCTGCGGGCTGAATTATTCCGTGTTTTTCAGCAGCAGGAATTCAAGAGGGATGCTTCTGTTTGGGTTTCTGATCGTGATTTATATTTATTCAGAGGACTAACAGAGGGTGGATCTGTTCCCGGTGCGAGCATGCTCACAACCAGCCTACTCTCCCATTATCCCCCTGCCTAGTTAGGTGCTCCAGTGTACATGGGTGTTCCGTGTGCATATGTGTGTATACAAATACGCATGCATGCCTGGATGGACAGACGTATGCACAGGTTATTTTTTAAGGACAATTCCTTCAATAAGATCTTTACCCCTTACTTGAAACAGGTGTTTATGAAAAAAATGCAAAATATCCCGACTGACCGGAATAATTGATGAAGAAGGGTGCTGGATCCGTGGGTCAGAGGACACAGGACCAGCTTGCCACCCCAAGGCCGAAGGTAGGGGACTCTGGGCTTTTATTTGGCGGATGGATTCCTTGCGCTTTATTTTTACTGATTGTGTTTTTGCCAGCGCCACGGGGAAGTGCCACTGCGAGCTGAGCTGCGATTCCATTTCGCCCTGGCCTTTCTCACGCCAGGTGTCCAGTGGTGGCGGCGCTGGGGCCGGGGTAGCTGTGCGGTCGCGATGCCACGGTGGGCTGAGCGCTGTCGGCCTGTGCTGGGGGGAGCGGAGAGCCTCAAATGACCCCCTCATGTCAATCATCGGCGGGCGGCGGGGCTTAACCCTGTGTGCGCCGCACTCCTGCGCTGGCTTCCGTGTGCTGGAGACTGGGGAGCCTCTGGCGCCCACAGCCCTGGCCTTTGCTCCTGTGGCCCAGCCCGGGATGGGTCAGGCCCCGCCGAATGGTGGCTGTGGTCGGCTTGATTGAGAAATTAGGCTGGAGGCTGGGTGCCAGGACTGAAGGGAGAGATTTCCCTCCCCACCCCCAATCCCAGCCCCTGAAAACGTTTCTACAGCAAAGTCACACCTTGTCAGTCCTCCTCCCAGAGCACACCACACCAAACTTAAACTCCTAGAGGGACGGGGGTAGGGGAGTAGGGGGTACAAAGCAGGTTCCCCTTCCTAGACATACCCCATATTTTACCATTTTTTAAAATGGAAACACTGCTGTCGCTGAATGGCCCACGGGGGTGCGGGGTGGGTGGTGGCGAACACCCTGACTCAGGACTGGGACAGAAGTGGTGGTGTAGAAAACTTGGAGGCCAGGTGTGGGCTCCTTTGAAGGTGTCTGTTTTGCTTTACAGTGCTGTTCAGGTTAGGCACCTCATCTGTGGCTTGGCCTGCCCTTGAACTTTGGGGGCAGTGGTGGCAGGAGAGAATCTGTGGGACTGAGCTAGCTGGTACTATGGTCCTCTTTTTGCTGTGTACCCTGAAGTTTCTGGCAGCCCTTGGTTTGGCAAGGCAACTGCCAGGTTCCCTTAAGGTACCAGGAATGTTTCGGATGTCTTAACTCGGGATTGCTGCCCCCACCCCCACCCCGAAAGCGAGCTAGCAAGGCATATTCTGAGTTGATCGTTAGGGACAACATGCTCTCTAACCCATGTTTGTGTGGTTATGTAACCACAACTAATGCTCAAACCCTGTGCCCAACTACTAGCTCTGTCCTCTCCCACTGAAGAACTTAGGTGCTCCATTGTTTAGAATGTTTTTATGTGATTATGTGGGAAGCATGTGGCAACCAGGTGGAATCATTTGAACTTGGTGAAGAACACCAGCAAAGCCCAGGCTCCCATTGAGGACAGTGCCACAGGGGTTTTGGGTTGGTGTTGATCTGCAGCCTTCGCCATACTTTGTACCCAGGTGTTGCTTGTCTGAGCTTTCAGTTGTAATTTCACTCCTCTCCATCTCAGGAGAAGCATACAGCCACCTTTGCAGGGTCCCCAGGTTCCTAACTCACAAGCACAAAAGGGACATTGAGTCCGGGGCAGCCATCCAGGTTTCTGCCTGCTTTTCTTCCAGGGGGCCCAGAGGAGAGCCTGGCCCATGTGGGAATCAGTGTGGTTCTGGGCCAGGCTGATCTGTGTGATAGAAAGAGGGCAGACCTTAGACAAGCAGGTTGACTCCTGCTTCTTAAAGTGCAGGCCTGCATGGCCTGAAGGCCCCTTCCATCCTTGCATTGCAGTGTTGGGAGGCTTTTTGCAAGGTAAGAGAATAGCTGTCCCACTGAGACATCTGCAGGCAAGAGGGGAGGGTGGCTGTGTCACTTTACCTTCTGTCTTCCAAGTGTGCTCCTTGGATCAAAGTGTGTGCAGCAAGCGCTATTGTCATGTCATGCTGTCTCTGCCCATTGTGTTAGAGCAGTGGCCACCCTCCCTGGAGTGGAAAAGTGTGCAGTGCTCTTGGGCTCCTGCCAAGTGAGTTTTGGAGACATTTAGTGTGCGAAAAGTGTCAGCAAGAAGAAGATGCATTTAGCCTGAAGTTCTGGCAGGTCCCTTGACTCCCTTGAAGATGATGCTGTGTGACAGCTAGATAGCGTTTAAATTGTCTCACACTTCCTATTCCACAAGTTGCCTGGTGTCTTTCAGGTTCTTCTCTGCCCAAGGAGGAGACCCTGACAGGCTGTGTCTGAGCACATTTTGCCAGTCTGCGGCTGTACCGAGAAAGAAGGACAGATACCCTGTCTACATGAACAAGCGTAGAACCATCATAGTCTTCAGAAGAAAAGCAGATAGGTTAGCAAATAACAAGTGCCCTGCAGCTGGCGGGTATTAGGCTGGTACCACACAATCTGGAACACACAGGTATGAGTGGTAAAGCAAGAGATGGCCCAAGGCTGTGAGTGTGCCTTTCATTACACATTTTTTTTCTTTTTTGTCTTTTTGAGACAGGGTCTCCCTGTAGCCCCAGCTGTCCTGGATTCACCATGGAGACCAGGCTGGCCTCAAACTCACAGAGATCCACCTGCCTCTGCCTCCCGAGTATTGGGATTAAAGGCCTGCACCACCACGCCCGGCTCGTCACACGTTTTATTATTATTGGTAGAAATTTCAGAGCCTCTTTCAGGACTCTGCATTGGCTTTTCTTTTTTGGTCTTGAGACAGGGTCTTCCTGTAGCTCCAGCTGGCTTGGCACCTACTATGTAGACCCGGTTGGCCTCGATCTCACAGAGATCTGCCTGCCTCCTGAATGCTGGGATTAAAGGCTCATGTCACCATGCTCAGCTCTGTATTGATTTAAAATTCTAACAACCTTGCCAAATGCACTTAGCAAATTTGAAGAAATTGTTCAAGGGATGCAGAAGTTGTTTTTAATTAAGTACCAAGAAAAAGTAATAATACTGTAAGAAACAGAAAAATTAAAAAACAAAGTTTAAAAGGTATAAGAATTCAAAAAATGGAATTCTAAGACAACATAAATATTTACTCTAAGCAACTCAATGAACTTTTACGTATTTCATTGACTCTTTGAGGTCCACGCATATCAGGAACAGTTGATGGACATTTCACGTGCCCTGTTTAAGGAGGCATGTGGATTTGAAGCACATCTCAGATGAGTTTTTACCATGGTGTTTAGAGAGAAAAGTGCAGCTATGCGAGAAAGTAGTGAGAAAACAGGGCCCCCTGAGGTTTCTGGACAGCTCAGGGCTTGGGGATCAAATTATATTACAACTATAAAGCCCTGCCTGGAAATTAATTTGGAACTTTGTGATCTTTTATTGAAATTTAACAGGGCTATAATATGCTATTATTAGCAGTGGTTCTGTCTTAACATTTGATGCTACAGAAAATCCTGAGGAGATCACATTTGAATCTTGGTGCATCTTGTGGCCAGAGCCCCCATTTAGGCCCTCTTCAGTTTAGCGACACTATGTTGCAGTTGGAAGAGAGCCCATGGTAGAACCAGGGCAGAAGAGGTGGCATCTTTTCTTTCTTCTGTTTAGGGAATGTGGGTTGACCACTACCAGTATGTTGCTCTCTTGGAAAAATGAGTTCAAGATGTTATGACCACACCCCACACTTAGCGGTGGCCATTTCTCGATTCAGACATTGTGCTTAGGACTGGGAGGCTGCCTGACTTACGTGAGCAGCACTGAGCTTGGCCCAGCCATCTGCCCATTTGCTCAGTTACAATTTTGCTGCAAAACAAAGAAAACAGGAAGAGCAGAAGTAGAAGAATATGAAGACTGACACTTTTTAGAGACTATACTTTACAATTCAACACATCTGTGGGAAGTGTGGAGACCGAATTAAAAGTAAGGGAAGAGTATTGCTTGGGTCTCTGTATGCACACTTACACTGTTTGAATTTGAATTTGAAGAGTCTTAAACTTGCTAAAAGAAAATGCCCATTTCAGGTTCTTGAATATAATCAGAAACGCTCAGAATTATCAAAAGGTTCCATGTCTCTAAGCAGAGGAGCACTACGGCAATGAGCTGGAGGGAAGGGATTCAGTGAACTCCTGGGAGGACGGAGCTTGGGAGGACTGGGAGAGGTGCTTAGAAATGGCTGAACCTTGCTATCTGGAAGTCTGCCCTCTTGGGTCACAGCTGGAAACACATGCTTGGGAGACAGGGCAGTGAAGGTGGGCTCTGCAAGAGATGAGTGAGGGGACCCCTCCCTCTTTACCAAGCATCACTGAAAGCCAGGTGCATTGGAATTCTTGTGGAAGGAGAAGGGTGGAACTTTACTCCTAGACACACAAGGCCTGAGCTGAGAACGCCCCTCAGATTTGAGGCATGAAGCCAGGAGAAGCATAGGTAAGTCAATCTCAGGGACCTTGAGATCTCTTTGAACACTCATGGCCCTTGAACTCAGGGTTCTGGGTCAACTTTAAAAAGAAAAACCATCATGAGGCTGGAGAGATGGCTTAGTGGTTAAGAGCACAGACTGCTTTTCAAGAGGACCCAGGTTTGGTTTCTAGTACCCACATGGTGACTAACAATCATCTGTAACTCCAGTTCCAGAGAATCCTATGCCCCCTGACTGGCTTCCACAGGCATTGCATGCACATGGTGCACTTACATACATGCAAGGCAAAACACCTGTACACATAAATTAAATAAATAGAATAAGAAACCAGTCATAATTGTGTAACTGGAATACAAGGCAAAGGTGATAAATGAAATGATAGAAAGAAATGGGAATGATAAATGAAAGCAACGTCATAAATACATGGCATGTGGGGCTAGGGAGATAAACAGGCCAGGGAAATAGCTCAGTTGGTAAAGTGTTTGCCTCACAAGTATGGGGATCTGAGTTTGATCCCCAGATCAAAACCCAGATGGTGTGGGCTTATAATCTTAGTGCTTGAGAGCAGAGGCAGATGAATCCCCTCACTGGCCAGTCAGCCTAGGTTAAATGGTGAGTTTAGGCTGGTGAGAGACCTTGTCTCAGAAACACACAAAACGAGAAAAGGTAGATTGCATCAGAGGAATGACACTTGAGCTTGTCCTCTGGTCTCCACATGCATGCCCCCACACCTGCACGTGCATTTCCAT